AGTAAAAGGATGTTGGGTGCGTCGTGCTACTCGTCGTCATCAGCCAGTCATATCCAATCCCAGGTGTGGCGGCGCCCAAGGCTCGAATCCGCGACCTGTTGGCTAGAAGGTAAACACTCTAACCACTGCGTCACGAGCTCGTTCCTTTGTCTATATTCCGTGTATTGCAAATTCGCCGTTTTTTTGATAAATTCTTTGTGAACAGTACGGGAAGTACTTCCAAAAAGACGAATATACGATGGTCGATAGGCGCCCACCGATCGGTTACAGGACCCACTCGTCCCTTCCTGCCTTGGAGCTCTCTCTCTCACTCACTTCCTCTCACTCCACTGCGTCACGGGCTCGTTGCGTACATTTATGAAGAGGGTCCTGTCACTAGATAGGATGGCCAGGACCCAAGAGAACTTTCACATGCAAAAATCTGGCTGAGCGCCATGTAGATTGAGCGCGTGTGTGGTAAGAGTTGACGTGGTTTCCACCTTGCCAGTCACTGCTCCGCATTCATCTACATTCGCATTGACTTTACGTTGTCATGGGAATATGATGGGTTAAATACTGTGCGAGTATGCTGTACCACTGTCCACTGAGACAGTGGGGATTATCATTGATGGTGTCGAACGAAATATCCCGACAACGTTCAGAAACAGGACGGAGACATGAATAGTGTGAAGACAGGGCAAGAAAAAAAACTAATCGCATGCCCCGCTAGCTCTGAAGAAGAATAAAGGTAGGTTGCGTGGACGTGATCCCCGACACCAACGTTTCAGCAAAGACGGGCACGCTCAGCAAGTAAGCTATGCTGAAAATGGTGCAAAAGGCATGGGAGGGGAACGCAGTGATGAAATCCGAACGCCTGCCTACACCACTGTTCTAAGGCAACGTCGCTACCGGTGCCCGCGAACAAGGCAACAATACGAGTACACCCTGAAGACCCATATCAACCATAAAACCTCGGGAGGCTTCACACGGACGTAAAAACTTCAGCAGCCATCTTCGAAGCCAACCGGATAGTAGCGGTCAGCGTAGGGCAATGCCCACAAGAATCAAGTGCTGCGGACCAGCAAGCAAACATAAACGTTGTGATTTTTTCCACACTGCCATAGGAGTTGGAAGCACGGGCTGAACTCGGTCTCTGAACGCAATGCAATGTCAACAAGGCCAACCCATCTTCCACATCAAAAACCCAAAATATAACCGATGAAAGCACTGTTCTCGTCAGGACATAAAACCCCACCATCTTCACCACCCGACGACAGTACAGACAGTTTCTACTGGTCCTTACTACAGTCGCACATTCCAATTACGTAGATCTGCTCGTTCACCCGCGAACGTTCGAAATGCGACTGGAGAGCTACTGCTAAGAGTTGGACACACTAGGTCACGCACAGCTCACTTGTTTTCAGTATGCAA